GAACAACTCGGAGTAGCCAAAAGCTAAACATCCCTCTTTTCAGAACTGCCTCCGGACAGGGAACCTTTTATTACAGGACTGTTAAACTTTGGAACAATTTGGAATCTCTTCTTAAGTTAAGCCCATCTGTTGAAATTTTTAAACGTTCCTTAAGGAGCCAGCTTTCAGTTAATTTTGTAAATACTTCTTAGTTAAGTTTAAAACATTGTAATTAGTAATTAGCTAACATTGTACTTAGTATTAGATTAAGTGTTGTAATTATTTATGATATAAATGATGTAATATAATCATTGCTCCTGAAAAGCCCCTTTGGGGAGGTAACAATAAAGTTTTAAAGTATGTATGTATGTATGTGTGTGTGTATGTATGTATGTATATCACCTTTTAGCACACTCTCCAGCTTACTAGCTGAGTAATTTTCTGATTTGCCAAAAACTTGCAGCATCACACACTTAACCTGCGTTGCATGGCGGTTTTGTTTGGGCGCGCTAAATAACAAAGGCGGGCGAGGGCAGAGAAAACGCGAGGAGATTGGGGCGGGAGTTCGCCGCTCGTTCGCGTGCGCTTTGCGCGCGTTTTTGCGGCTTCGCCGCTCAGTCGTGCTCTCGACAAAACTGCCATGCTGCTAAGGCTACACGCACTAAAAGCGGAGGGGCCACTAACAGTGTGCAGGAGTGGCAAGAAGCCCAGTGCAAGTGGATCAAGAGCTTTAACCTTTCGCTCCAGTACCTGTGGCTGGTGACCCTTGTTATGGTGGCTCGGTCTCCGGCCGACAATAAAGATTCCCGCCGCATGCGAGAAAAATTCTATTGTACCCAGCGTACCAGAATAACAATAATTTTGGGTGGGAGGGCGAAAGCCTCAGCCTGAACCAGAGAAGAGAAGACAAGTTTAGAAGCAGATTAATAAGATAATAACTCATAAAGACAAACAAAGTATATCAAGATATGTGACTGTATAACTACAAAGGGTTGCACTCAACGAACCAATTCAACGACCTGCTCCCAGTTGGCTTTTTGGTTCAGTGTGGTAGAGCGCTGCACCAGTATCGCAGAGGTCAAGGGTTCGAATCGCGTTCAAGCCTGAATCTTTTTCAGGCTCATTTTTTTCGCAACTGTAAAAGTAGCTTCTATAACTACGATGATCATCTTTCACATAATTCTTCACCCCACAGTTCACATATATGATTTTCATATATTTATAACTTCAACAAAAAAATTATCGCACAGGGGATCGGCCAGAAATTCTTGCGAGCCAACCCCCCCCCCCCCCCCCCCCGCCATCACTTTTTAATCGTCTATCCCTTAGGGTGGTGACGGTTAGTACGTGGAATGATTGGTAATGACTTTACTGTGTACATGGCTTTTTACGTACATGTACTGTAAACATTTACATGTATGTAAAAAGCCATAGACACAGTAAAGTCATTACCCATTACCCATCATTCCACCTACTACCCATCACCACCCTAAGGGACAGACCATTAAAACGTTGTATACATTTATTTAAGCACACGCATAATTCACCATAATCAGTTACTGATAACCAAATTTGGCAGAATTGTGTGTTTAACGAGGAAATGACGTCAAAAATGCAGCGTTCTTGCAGGTTAATGGACCGTTAACCGAGAGGACCTGGAGACGAGGTTGAGTTGTTTTGGTTGTGAAAACGAAAAATGGCGGACATTTCACTCTTTTCAAGACAGAACTAGGCGAAATTATAGCTAAAAACATGGCAAGAACAACGTAACAAGAACACAACTCGAAGGGCGACATGTGCTATTTGGAGAATATTTGCGGAGCTGAACAACCCTAAACGTGTAATATATGGATTTAGCCTGGGCTAAAATAGACTAGAGTAGTCCCCCATTTTTCCTCAGGGATACCCCAGAGCAGGCGTCGCGTTTTTCGCGCGGGTGATTTTCACGCGCGAAAAGGGTTTCTCGCACGCTTTACTATCCCTGAGGAAAAATGGGGGACTACTCGTAGTCTAGGGCTAATGCACCTATCAATTTAAACCCCGTAAGGGGGGGTGCGGGCAAGGGGTGGGGGTTTGACAAATTTTAAAATTTTTTGATGAAAGTCCCCAGGGTGGGAAACGAGAGGTCAATCAAAAGTGTCAAAAAAGCCCCCACCCCAGGGGAAAAAGTCTAAACAAACAATACTATAATACTATATAAAACGAATAAAAGAACATTTCAAAAGTACGTTCTTACTACTTTTATTTATTAAAGGTTAACGTAAGCTCAGTTAAATTACTCGCTGTAATTAAGTATTTTCTCTCTCCACTAGCATATCTTATTTTGAACAACAAAATCCCTCCAGGAAGATTGACCCTGCTATTACCTGGTGCTATTATAATATTAATGAAACGCACAATGCTTTATAACATCTGCTCAACATGTCGGAACAGGTCAGATCAGTGACCCGCAAAAAATCCCCTGACTTTTATGGTGGAATTCGATTTCAATCGAGTTTTACAATCAGATGGGAGCTTGAAGATAAAAACGTTCTCAAAATAGACATTACCTGTTTAGATGACAGTTTAAAGTATCGGATTATGGCGATTAAAACAAATGAAAACTTCACACCTTTCTCCAACAGCGTGACTTTCAGAAAGCCTCGAGGGACAGACTTGGTAACCGCTTCTGAACTGATACCAGGCTTCTGTCGGTCAAAGTCAAATGTCCCGACCCCAGGATCGCTTCACACGATCAAAAGCCCAACAAAGGGGATAGTCTCAGGCATCAAATCCCCGCCCCTTGCCCGCACCCCCCTCCCCCCACGGGATTTACATTGATAGGTGCGAAGCTCCTACTAACTCGAATTTATAATTTAAATCAAACAATTGTAAACTTGTATTCCACAAATCAGTTAACTTTAGAGCACATTCATGTGACTTTTGACGAAATTGCTAAGTAATTTTAGAGAAAAATAATTTGCAAACAGTCCAAGCTAAGAGTGAAATTAATCTTACATCGACTTGATAGCCTTATATGTACACCTAAAAAATAGCATAGCCATAATGGTTCTTGATCACAGTACATTAGGAAAACAAATCAATAAGTTTACTTTACAAAATCTTGCCAACAAGTCTGGGGACGTGTAAACCAACCTTTCATACTTTTTATACATCACATCTGAGGTGAAATAGTACCATGAGGCGCTGTTTTTATCATACAGACCTCGGACAGAATGCAGTATTTCACAGTATTTCACTTTTGACAAGCGCCAAAGTCGACTGTTTAAATCAAGATTAACATAGTTATACGCTTCAACATAATGGCTTTATAACGATGTGTCATCTTCAAAAGCGCTTGATACGCGCGGCATTTTGACTACTCCTGCAAGCTATGTTCATGAGCGACTGAAAACAAACGGCACAACAGCAATGAAAATTGCAAAAGAAACTACTAACAATCAGTAAAAGGAAAATCATTCGGTGAAACATATACAGAGACAACAATTTTCATTCACGAAGACAAGTATTAAAGTGTCTCTGAAAATCCTTGTTTATGTTTTAAGCCGGCTTCCCGGTGTTTGCGTTTTCCAAAGATGAACTCGAGGCAAAAAAATCGCTCAAACCTTTCTTTTACAGCCAGAATTATAACCAAATATCATAAACTACACTCGACTTCATTGAATTAGATATAAAAAACAAACATCAAATAAAATAATTACTCAGGCTTATGATTCGAGATGCACTGAAAACTATCAAGTAAGGCCAAAATCGCTTCAGACTTTTCAACTCCCCTACGCATCAAGCAAGGTGAAAAACGAAAACGATGCCATCCGAAATCGGATTTCCGACTTTGACAAGCGACGTATTTCTCAACCAAAACCCGATAAACAACTAGCCATGAATAACAGAAGATTCTTGATAGCAGCTGAACTTCATTTTGTTTTTTAACTCACCTGCCAAGTTTGACAGATCAGATCATAAAAATTGGACGTAGAGCGTGACCAACGCGTGACCTTGGTGAGAAAAGTCAAAAGCAACTGGCATGTCTTCCCTGCCTGTAAAAACTGGTTGAATCTTAGCTTCCGAGGTCAGTTTGAAATCAAAATTTTAATTGTGCGGCACATATCAAACACAACGTACTTCATATGAATTGAAAAAATTAAACTTGAGCCTGCAATCATTTGAAACTGGTAACTTGTCAGCGGATAACTTCCAAAATTACTCGACCTCGATGGGTCGACACCTGAGCCCGCGATACGGTCAGGTGATACTGGTCAGTGGGACCCTGTTTTGACAGCTGTCAATTGATCACAACATTGATGTGCAATATGTGTGCAACATCAGTCTTCCTGTGCTCCCAAGCTAGCTAGAAAGTGTGGGATTGAACATTGGTTTCCCTGTGGTGCGGACGGACGGGCAGCGGGAAGGCAGCGGGCGGGCGGTGTACGGTCACGTGATTACCAAATTTTCTGGGATGGGTAGATTTACTTACCCATGGTGCTCAGTAGGTGCGCTTCGAGCGCCAGGGCTCCGCTACTATCGAAGGTGAACTTAAAAAGTACATCGATGAAGATAATCGGGTCCTGATCGAGGTAAGCATGTTTTAGCTTTGTTTTTAAACTAGGAATTATTTTGAATGAATAATAAAACAATTACTGAATTCGGCTTTCCTATCATATGAAGAATTATGGAGATCTCGGAGGGTGTTATCCGCCTCGGCCGTCTCCATAATTCATCTAGACTTGCCTACAAGTCGAGCTCAAATTTTTTCACGAGCGCGAAGCGTAAGTGGTAGATTTTTTATGTTTTCTGCAGCAAAAGCGAACCAAAATGAGAAGCGAAGGACTTTGAGAAAGTCTATAATTCTTCATACGATACTCTCAGCCTCATTCATAATTCATGCAAAAAAAAGTGGTTAGCGTATATGAAGGAGGAGGAATCCGCTGAGAAAAGTGACTGAGGTTGCAGGAATAAAAGCGCGGGCTACCTTGCGCGCGTCCTTCTCTTGAAAGCATAACCAGTCAAGCAGAGCAGGCATTCGTGCAAGGATAATGAATCAGCAGTTTTTTCGTTCGGGGCTAGGCCTCTTCTTGTTGTTGTCGGTTTTCTCCAGTGGCTTTGCCATAGGTAAGTTGAACAAGCTTTCTATAGCTTGATTGATCGATTTTGATTTATAATGCACTCGAGGCAAAATATCAATGCTGAGGATTACGAGACGTCAGTAGCATTTTAAATGCCTAGATACCATGGCAGTCAAATGAAATTTTGACCAATTTTCGCGAAGTATCTCGATTAATTCCTCTTAGAACATAAAATATTTGTTTAGAAATCTCAAGCGATTGTAAATATTGCCTTGGGTTGAAAGTAGAAGCGACTGTCGACCCTTTTTTAGCTTGGGCATAGAGTAATCTCAATTTCTTCGACAAGTAGAAAATATTGAAGCTCCGGACACACAGAAATTATCAACGAAACCTCACCAGAGTATTTAGTGTTTATTCAGAAATGCCAAGCGATTCTAAATAAAGGATTCGTATTGTTGTGGACAAATTCTCCGAGCTTGCATACATTTTTAATCATGCATTAAGCATATTCTGGGTTATTCTGTAGAATCTTGACTCGCGGGTACGGTTTTCAAAATGCTAGATGCCCGGTCCACCTTTTTAACTTCCTTTTCAGGGTGTTAGTTTTGTAGTTTTATTTTTATGATACCTTGAACATAGTATGTATGATATCAGATAATAGATTTAGATCTTGTAATTCCCTTTCTTCTTTTAAATCTAAGCTGAAGAATTGGCTTTTTAAAATTTGTTATGATGTTGTCGTATAGAATGGTGATGTTTTCATAGGATGACAATGTAGTTTTATAGTTTTGTAGGTTTAGGATTTTGTTGTTATTTTTATTATGTAAAGCGCTTTTGGATCATTGGGGATTTTTTTATAGGATGACAATGTAGTTTTGTAGTTTTGTAGGTTTAGGATTTTTTGGACCATTGGGAATTAGCGCTCTATAAATATTGTATATTATTATTATTATTATTAGCCAAAACTAAAAGTGAAGCTCCCATTTAATTTTATAATTTACTTCAAACAATAAACTGCATATTTAACAATTAATGAATGAGGCTGAGTATCTTATGAGGAGTTATGGAGATCGAGGAGGGTGTTATTCCGAGGCGGATAACACCCTCCGAGATCTCCATAATTCTTCATATGATACAAAAGCCAAATTCAATAATTGTTTTATTATTCATTCAAAATAATTCCTAGTTTAAAAAAATGGCTAAAACATTCTTACCTCCATCGATCAGATTGATGTTAAGTTCATCTTCGATAGTGCCCGTTTAGGGTTGTTCAGCTCCGCAAATATGGTGGTTTCTTGGTGTTGCGGATCACCAAATGATGTCACCTTTAGACCGTTTTGTGTTTCTCACTATCATAAGGTTCAAGTTTATATTCAACCTTTACAAATCCTCTTTTCGGCAAACGAATGCAAAATTTCTGTCGGTTTGTCAGTACCGACAAATTCACTGACAACTTTTGACTTAATTAAGCAAGGGTTCAACTGACATGAACTGACAAACCGACAACTGACAAATTTTGTCGGTTTGTCAGTACCGACAAATTCACTGACAACTTTTGACTTAATTAAGCAAGAGTTCAACTGACATGAACTGACAAACCGACAACTGACAAATTTTGTCGGTTTGTCAGTACCGACAAATTCACTGACAAATTTTGACTTAATTAAGCGAGAGTTCAACTGACATGAACCGACAAACCGACAACTGACAAATTTTGTCGGTTTGTCAGTACCGACAAATTCACTGACAACTTTTGACTTAATTAAGCAAGAGTTCAACTGACATGAACCGACAACTGACAAATTTTGTCGGTTTGTCAGTACCGACAAATTCACTGACAAATTTTGACTTAATTAAGCGAGAGTTCAACTGACATGAACCGACAAACCGACAACTGACAAATTTTGTCGGTTTGTCAGTACCGACAAATTCACTGACAATTTTTGACTTAATTAAGCAAGAGTTCAACTGACATGAACCGACAAACCGACAACTGACAAATTTTGTCGGTTTGTCAGTACCGACAAATTCACTGACAAATTTTGACTTAATTCAGCGAGAGTTCAACTGACATGAACCGACAAACCGACAACTGACAAATTTTGTCGGTTTGTCAGTACCGACAAATTCACTGACAAATTTTGACTTAATTCAGCGAGAGTTCAACTGACATGAACCGACATGAACGGTCAAAGGGCCAGTAAAGTAAAAACGGAAGTACACGCATGATGTTGCCGGCACGATACGTGTTTAATAATCTGATCTTTACACAGTATCATTATATGTCCATGCCTTTCACATAATTTTTGGGACCAAACGCAATGTGAAACCACCATGATAAGGTCTAGGAGCACAATCGACAAAACTCAGCAATATATAATACATTTGAAGTGTAAATCTCCGATCACCTTTACAGCCTTATAGTCTAATCGTAGATCTAATAATCTCATGTTGTATTTCTTTTTGAATAAATGCGCATACCTAAATTTCAACTGAAACCATTCAATTACAGCGTAGAATGGCAAGTATATGACATTCCTGTTGTCAAATCAAGTATCACTATAGAGCCTCTGTATGGGCACTTGCCGACGTCCATTTTGTTTCTCGTTGTTTTTCCATCCATCGGTTTTGCAGGCGAAATAGTGGCCTTTAATGGAATTAATTATTTTGCACTGTAAAGCTATAGCTAATTGCGAGCTCAGAGCATCACAACGACGACGAAAAGGGGAAAATAACCAAAACAAAATTTTTGTAAGTGCATCACGCCGGACTAACGTTTTCAAACTTTATTGAAAAGGGAGCGATCGTCGCTTTAATCTCTAACATGGTTGCCTTACCAATCTTTGAGGTATCGTCACCACTTCGGTTTCTTTGTCGGAAATACCCATTCAGAGGCGTCTTTAATAACATAACGGTAAAGTAAATAAACGCAACTTGGTTGAAATATCATAAACTTCCTACCTGATTAAACTTTAAAACTAGACCCTTATAAATATTTACCGTCTAATACAGTAAACAAAAATCACTGGTTGCTCTTTAATTTCCAAATAGCACTGTGTTTTAATTATTCATCTTAAGAGCATGGAAAGTACAAATGTAAAAATGAGCATGCTTATAGGGAGAATTTGTTGTTCAGCATTTGCAAAACTTCAGATACGGCAGGAAAAGGGTTCATACATTGTACCAATCTGATTTGTTTGTATACGCCGACAGAGTAAGACCTCGTATACGCCTTGCGATATACTACAAATGTGATATCTTTGTAAACGGCTTGAATAATAGTGGTAGAGTAAGATTGCGAAACTTCTAAATATAATCACCCATTGTTTTGTCTTCTTTTACTCTACCTCCAGAATCTGAACGTCGGGGACTTTCAACAAGGACAACAAGTTCCTTTTTTGAAAAGGCCCCTAGATACTCAGCTTTCGGTGTATTCTATAACATGATCCGCTCTAAGTGGAACAACAGAGGATCAGACTGTCTGTTCTATACCGGTGTCACCAGCTTAATTCCTTTACAGCTAGAGAAGTGTTTTTCTTGCGTGAAGCACTAATAATGTGAGTTTAAAGATAATACTTAAAAGGAAGCATTACTGACTTAAATTGTTAGTGGTTCACTCAAGAAGTGATCTGAAGAGCGCAGCCTCCTTGCGGTGATGGGTATATTTTGCGCTCACTTCCTTCTCACTCTTTTCAGACACAATTAGCCCTTTTAAATTCGTAGTTTTTCTAGTGACGTCTACCAAGGCATTATACATTTCATGCAAGTCACTGGTGGTAAAGGTATCCTTCGTCTGCTCAAAATGCTTCAATGTATGAACGAACAAACAGTGTTCCAATTTCGTCCACCCACTGACCTTTAGTCCCTCTCCTCTCTCTTTCAAAAAACATAGCGATGACTGCTTGCTGCTCTGAGATGCATGTTTTGCTCTTTTCCTTGGTCGCTTGATGTCCTCCGATTTCCATTCGAGTCTTTTTCCGTATATATTGCCACAGTTTTTACATTGGCAGGAGGCAGAACAGCTCTCCTTTCTGTTAAAGCATTCGCAGCGACAAGAAAACTTGCCAGGGGGAATCTGACAACGCATTTTTGACAAATTTTTTCTATCCCTGCCTTGGCCACAGCGGCAACCGAAGTTTTGGACTTCATTGGAAAGAGGGGATACTTTTTCACTCGCCTCTTTTTCTTCAGGTGTCAGTGGTGTACTGATGGGATGCAATTTGGCGATGTCATAGTGTCCTGGACCTTGTTGGGTGTATGCCAGAAATATGGGCTTAGCGTCAGGAACCTGCTCGCGGGCTGATGGCCACAAGGGGAAAATTGCGGATAGACGTAAACATAACGATCGGCAGTCGCAAGACATTAGCGAGTCCAAGGGGCATTGCGTCTCCAAGTCCCCCGTCAAATACGCCCGGTTTTTCATAAGCAAGAATGTCTTGTTCGTTTTCGTACAAGTTTTTTAATCCGTAGTTTTCTTCATTCTGTAGCCACTCGGAAACCATGAGTTTTCGTAATTTCGTCACCGCCTCCGAGGGAACAGTCGTGACAAACAAACCAATACAGTTCAGATGGTTAGATAATGTAGTTACACTGTCAGATTCCAATAAACGTTGCACTTCAAGAAAAATTGCTGCTAGAAGACAGTCTCCATCACCTTCCACTGGACACCTTTTGAAACCATACGACTTTAAAACAGTCTTCAATCTACTTTCATGTTCATCTCCATGGTTCTCATCGTTGTTTGGAGTTGTAAATGGAAAACCTTTCAACACATCATCCATAAAAGAAAGATCACGAAATTCAAACGAATTGGACTTTGTCAAACTTGAAATATCTTCTGCCAGATTAAACATGCAAACGCTTCTGTACAAAATATCTACTAAATTGTTGTCAAGGGTAATATCGTGCTCTTTAGTCTGATCATCCTCTTCTTCGTTTTGACTGGCACGATGCTCTTTTTTATCGTAAAGAAAATTCAAAAGATCTTCTGAGTTACTGGTTAGAGGTTGACACGTATTTTGCTCGTTCTCCTCGCTAATGACCCTTCTTTGATTGATCCCAATGCCAAACACTTCTCGAGTGTCCTCTTCAGAAAGGTATTTTCTGGTTAACTTTCTCTCTAAGGGAGAAATGGTAGGGGGTATGGATCCCTTTTTGGCTGGGGTGGTTGACTTCCGCTGATTCCAGGAGTAAAAGAACTGAGTTAAAATAGCCAAGGCAAGGATCACTCCAATTCTATTTTTCTTCAAGTCCTTGTTTAGGGATCTAGGTATATGAAATCATCATGGTCAAAATGAAATATTCCAGCGAGTTACGGTAACATTATGCTTTTTATACTCTTTTTAAGAAACTACTAAACACTTACCAAAAGATGCTCCCAAGTTGGCGTGAGGGTTTCCTCGCGATGACAAGTACTTTAAACATGATTTGTTTGCCCTTCGCTTTAACAATGTTTAAAAATTTTGGTTTTTCTTGCAACAATTATAGTTATTGCGAGAAATTTGCAGTCAATCGCAAAGTGGCATTTTTGATTTAGTACCGATAGAGCGTTGCGATTTTTTCAGGTTCTTTTTCAGCCGCCTTGGTTGTTCATTTAACAGTCAGAATCACATCTTTTTTTACATCTATCCATTATCAGTTAATATTGCCCTGTCTACTGCATTCTGAAGAGTTTTCTGTATGTGGACATGAACAGATGGCTTTCCAACAAACTTTCAAGCAGTTTCACCAATTTTATTTGCACTTAGCTGATAGACACAGTCAAAATCTAAAGGAAAGCAACAACCTGAAAGCATTGGGTGCTAGTTAATCATACTTTGCGCCAGTTCCTCCCTGTTGGCGCCTGCCTTATTATTACAAGCCGTATCGTTCTATAGGCCCTTTCCACGATGCTGTCAACAATGATGACTTAAGAAGTAAAATCTTGCTACACCCTGGGCCATTTGTAAAGCCAAGAAATGTTATCCGTAGGCTTACTCGCAGTGCGCGGACAGAGGCCATTGTGAACGAAATGCGTGCCCTCCAAGAACTTGGTTACGGTACATTACATTGCAGAGGAGCTGTCCACAAGGCCTTCTTGAAGGTTGTTCCGGGCAAATTGCCAGCGGGCGATTTACTAGTAGACCGAGAAGCTCATATTGCACAGTTTAGAAAAGAAGATAACATGCTTCAGAGAACTGAAGCTGCTATCTTTAGGGAAGCACTGCATACCCAGATCTGTAAATAACAATAGTTTTACACAAGAACTATCCGCGTACGGTTAAGAAGCCTAAGCAAAACTTGCAATAAACCTGATTATCTACTGGCCAGCAGAGATTAGCCAGTCACAATTCTTCAATGTGAGTAACGTTGGAATAACGCGCGTGTTTATACAGATATTAGAGTTCTTCACAGTATTGCAGTCAAATTTCACTATTATAGACAAATCATGGACAAGTACTGTTAACACATCTTTAAGACATCGTTCAGTACTCCGAATTCTTAAAGTGTGGGTATGCATAGGGCTTCATTCTCAGAGTACTATTTCACAGAAGACCTTGGAAGCGCAAACGGTTATGGCTATTTTACAACAACAATACGTTTCATTTTTAATGTATTAGAAGAAAAAAGAAAGGCTTGAAACACGTTGTCGTTATATACTTTACCGGTATGTTAGCCTGCGTAGCATGGCGGTTTTGGTTGGGAGGGCAAAGTAATAAAGGAGGGCTAGGGCAGAGAAACCTGAAGGAAATTGGGGCGGCTTCAACTATCGTTCACGAGCGCTCCGCGCGCGGATTTCTCCTTTTCCTGGCTTCGCCGCTCGTGCGCGTCGCTCAACAAAACCGCCATGCTACGCAGGCTACCGTTATATTAATACTGGTATTTGATTTGACACCCGGTATGTGATATACTTGCCGTTGTACGCTGTACTTGACTGGTTAAAATTGAAATTTAGGCATGCACATTCATTTAGAATGAAACGCAAAATCAGATTATTTGATCTACAATAAGACTATAAAGCTACAAAGGTGATCAGAGATTTACACTTCAAATGAATTATATATTGTTGAGTTTTGTCGATTGTGCCACTAGGCCTTATCATGGTGGTTTCACATTGCTTTTGGTTCCAAAATTCATGTGAAAGGCATGGACATGATACTGTATACAGATGAGATTATTAAACTCGTATCGTGCCAGCAACATTATGCGTGTACTTCCGTTTTTCTTTTACTGGCCCTTTGCCTTTGGTCGTTTTCTTTCCATATGAAAGTATGCATATTTTCACTCCCGTCCCCACTTTAAAAACTTTCACTTTAACCTATAAATAAGTTGCTAAGTAACAACGTCATCAAATATATATCTTTCCATCGATGCCTCGTTCTCAGGATATTCTGAGCAATCCTAACAGAGTTACACTTACTAGGAAAATTAAGAAAAGTAACATTTTGGGAGAAAATCCACCGTCCGTTTAGCTGTTTACCTGCACTAATCTTTGAAGATTAAAATTGCCCTTTTACTAAAAATTAGGCAGCCTCAATTCAATGCAAAAGAAAGAAGATAAAGTGGGCAATGAAACAGTTTATAAAGAAGGAAGGCAAAGAAAAAAAATACAGAGAGCGAGACTGAGAAAGATCGAAATAGATCCTAAAAAAAAGTTCCAATTTTGGTTTGAGCGCCGGGGCTTCTGCGAACAAAAATGTTTATAATAATTTTTCTGTTCAATTACATCCTTTTTCTCGGAAATATGCCCTCTCTGTTGCAAACCTCATTGTTGGCCATTCTTATGATAGTCAAAAATCAGTTCAAGAAGGGAAATGGTGAAAACATCTTTTTTTCGTTTCTCGCTGGCCGTCACCAAAGCGTTAACTGATACACATGGGCTTAATTGTCAAGACTTGACATGCGGCCACATCACATCTCTTCTTCATTTCAGGAACTAAAAGTTGTTCGTTGTCGGTTTGTCGGTTCATGTCAGTTGAACCCTTGGCTTAATTAAGTCAAAAATTGTCAGTGAATTTGTCGGTACTGACAAACCGACAAAATTTGTCAGTTGTCGGTTTGTCGGTTCATGTCAGTTGAACTCTTGCTTAATTAAGTCAAAATTTGTCAGTGAATTTGTCGGTACTGACAAACCGACAAAATTTGTCAGTTGTCGGTTTGTCGGTTCATGTCAGTTGAACCCTTGCTTAATTAAGTCAAAAGTTGTCAGTGAATTTGTCGGTACTGACAAACCGACAGAAATTTTGCATTCGTTTGCCGAAAAGAGGATTTGTAAAGGTTGAATAAAAACTTGAACCTTATGATAGCGAGAAACACAAAACGGTCTAAAGGTGACGTCATTTGGTGATCCGCAACACCAAGAAACCACCGCAAATATTCTCCAAATAGCACATGTCGCCCTTCGAGTTGTCTTCGTGCTGTTCTTGCCATGTTTTTCGCTATAATTTCGCCTAGTTCTTACTCTTGAAATGAGTGAAATATCCGCCATTTTTGTTTCCACAATCAAAACAACTCAACCTCGTCCCCAGGTCTTTTCAGTTAATAGTACCTTAACCTGGACGAACGCTGCATTTTTGACGTCATTTCCTGGTTAAACACAAAATGTTTCCAAATTTGGTCATCAGTAACTGGTTATGGTGAATTATGTGTGTGCTTTTAGCCAATCAGAATTGGGGAAATATTTTGAATGAATAATAATTAGCAATTAATGAATGAGGCTGAGTAGGATATGAAGAATTGAGCAGATCAAGGAGGGTGTTATCCACCGAGGCTGAAGGTAGAGGTGGATAACACCCTCCAAGATCCGCTTAATTCTTCATATCCTACGAAAGCAGAATTTATTAATTGCTTTATTGTTCATTCAAAATAATTCCTAGTTTAAAAACACAGCTAAGACATACTTACCTACATCGATGTTAAGTTTATCTTCGATAGTGTACGTTTAGGTTTGTCCAGCTCCGCAAATATTCTCCAAATAGCAGATGTCGCCCTCCGAGTTGTCTTCTTGCTGTTTTTGCTATGTTTTTAGCCATTATTTCGTCTAGTTCCAGCTGTAGCTCTCACTCTTGAAACGAGTGAAATGTCCGCCATTTTAGTTTTCACAACGAAAACAACTCAACCTCGTACCCAGGTCTTCTCGGTTAACGGTGCCTTAACCTGTAGAGGACTGCATTTTTGACTTCATTTCCTCGTTAAACACAAAATTCTTCCAAATGTGGTCATCAGTAACTGGTTATGATGAATTATGCATGTGCTTTTAGCCAATGAGAATTGGGGAAATATTTTGAATGAATAATAGTTATACTTAACTTTTGGGAAGATGCATATGACTTTTGAGGGAGGGGCTCAGTGATTTTAGAATAAAAGAAAATATCTTCAAACAGCGTACGAAAAAAAATACAGACAGCATGTACTGTGTCAATTTAATATCCCCTTTCTTTTGTAAGGTTGATTTGCCAGCCTTGAAATATAATTTTATGCTACAAAGGCTTGTTTAACAAATAAATAAATGAATACTCAATAATGATTCGGAGGAAGCACATCCACAAAGTGGCTCTTTGTCTACCTGATTCCTGGTTGAATTGTAATTTGGAAATGTTGGTGTGGCAGTGGTTACCGGTAATTTACATGTCACAATTTATAGGTTTTATCTCTCTGTCTAAAGGAGGCCAAAATGAAAAATCAGGCTGTTTTTTTTTTTGGGCCTGCCACAGGTTTACTTTTCAAAATCATCAATGAATTAGCTATAGCCTGCCAGAAGAGCCTTTCTTTCCCTCACTTGATTTTGGCATACTCAAGGAAGACACTGCATGAATCCAGTGAGATCTTTGCTGAACATGTGGGGCAATGTTGCTAGGATATAGTCTCAAACCGAGGCCTAAAAGCTAATAACACTTACCGGTATTCAATTATTTGTTCATTTTCTTTTATTGTTTTAGAGCCACACTGTTATAATGTAACTTAAACTGTGGAAATTGTATACAGAGAGGCTAAACAAACACTATTGCTCAAGTTTATTTGGGGCAATGTTGCTAGGATATAGTCTCAAACCGAGGCCTAAAAGGTAATAACACTTATTCAATTATTTGCTCATTTTCTTTTATTGTTTTAGAGCCACACTGTTATAATGTAACTAAAACTGTGGAAATTGTATACAGAGAAGCTAAAAAAACAGTATCACTCAAGTTTATTTGGGATGCAAGTCTTATTGGTGGTACAGTTGGAGTGATTTTTGGAACGGTCACAGATAGAGGTGGCAAATGTATAGCAGAGAGGGCAATGACAATTACGCTGCCAACCAATGCAAAGCATTGTCCACGATTCACTGGATACGAATCTTGGTGTGAAAATGAGACAAGGTTCAGTGTCAAAAAGAATGCCAATGGCTCCCTGGAATTGATTGTCAAATTTTCAGTTCAGTCCATGTTGAGATACCTGGGGAATGTGACAGTGAATAACACTGTCTTGTTCTCATCGAGGCTCCAATACAGTTATCTTAGTACAAATGAAAGTGCTTCAGACCTCACTACCCAAGTCCATGTATTAGGTGGGTATGCTAAAATTTATACATGAAAGTAAATGATTTGTTATTATAATCTTACTTGATGGGCTGTGAATTAAATAACAAGTTGCACAGTGTTGAGTGATGCACCGTGCAAAGAAAGTTGTGTCTGATAGCCCGGGGCTAGCAGATTTTTCTATCAGGTTAGTGATTTTTGTTCTTAACTTGCCAGATAGGCAAGTGCTGTTTTTTGGGGAAGTTCAAATTGCGGAAGGATTGTAATCAATCCTGCTAATCAAAAAGGGTTTTTGGGCTTGTTGAAATGACTTGTGGGCTAGTACATGCCAGCTACAGCTTGCCCGAATGGAAAGCTGTAAAATTGACTTTCTTTGCACCCTGTGATGTTATGAAGCTCGCTCTCCACCAAGCATTGCCTTCAGCATCATGCAGCATTCTTTTGTGTGAGGTGTGATGTGTAATAGTTTGATTTATAATGATTAGAAATCAATTTCAATTGCATTCATCGTAGGAAAACCAGTTTACAAATTTTTCAAACAATTATACCCCATAGCACAAGCTAGCCATGCAGATAAATTCAAAATCTTATTTTCAGTGGTTGTGGTGACTAAGCACTCAGTATGATATTAACAGGGTTTCATTAAGAATTGCAGTATCAGGAGAATATTTTGAAACAGCGAAGCCCTTTCCTGGAAAGAGCATGAAAATGAGCCTGGAAAGTTTGCGTTTTAAACCCTGCTGAGATGGCTTTCCCTACTACATGTATCTGATAGCAAATTTTATTTCTCGTAGCTGGTTCGGGGAACAAAAAACACTGCATACCTCTACATGGTTTCAAAACATTTTCTCTTTGAATTAGCAGACATATTGTTAAATTATGATCGACTTCTAACCCTGTTACACACTCCTAGATTTGTGACATGTGGCTCTGTCTTATTAAATACCAAACATACCAAAGAGTGAAAATCAAATAATGCTCAATACACTTTAACTTCAATTCAACAATATTTTAAAGATATTTTCAACAGTGAAAGCACGAGACATGAGAAACTTTTCCCGCCTCTGTCGGCAGCAAGTGCTTGTGCTAGACAGAAGACATGCAAACAAATACACTCTCAGTGCAAAACTTTGCATGTCCAACCCTAACCGATGAATATCTCGTCTTTGTCTCCTCTGCTACTGCAGTTACAATTTATGATGTGCCATTTTAGAAGTTATTGTTAAAATAATTGACGTAGAAAAATCTTAAAATTAATTGCTTCATAGTAATTGCCCCTGCAGGGATTTCGCCCAGAAGGCGAAATCCCGAGGAGGCACTCGAGTAACTCACGTGTATATTAAGGAAAGTACTTACAGTTGAAATAATTTATACAGTCAACATAGAAAAAATCTTGATTTGCTTGAACAGGGGCTGAGAGGAATCGGTAGGTAATGATGACGTTTCTATTGTTTGCGCCCGCAAGTACAAAATGGTTAGGATGACGTAAAACACAAAAAATCCCGAAGGGACCGCTTACCGCTTTTGCATTACGTGTTATCACTGACATTCTGGGCACCAGTTGTTATGAAAGTTATGGACCAAAAGACACTCGTTAAGTGCAGATGAAGTTATAAGGTGCGTATAACAGTGTATCTTTTAACACTAAGTGAGTTTGCCAGACACGAGTCCACAAATCTTTGATTGGAAACCCAACCAGACACTCTTTCTCTTTCTTTGACTGGAATAAGACTCGGCCCCAAACCAGCAAGAAGAGTGAATGATTCAACCGCCAGCTTATCACTAGCAGAACGATAGACAATTACAGAAATTCGCCGACCATCAAATTCTGTGCTGACTTATTCCCTGCTAACAGATGTCCTTCCGCTATAAAGTTTAAAATAAGACTAGAATGCATGAGCATGAATTGATGAAACGTCCTTTTAATTTCTAAGGCTTACTTTCTGGCAAATAAAATGAATTAAATGTAAAAAGTGAAATAGAAATAGCGAAAATTTAAACTTCTAAGTAAATCTTTTCTTGTGGTTTAGAATAAACTATTTTCGAAACTGAGAATGTTTTGATCAAAGCTGTGTAAATCGAACTGAAACTGTACATGGAACCTTGTGTTTATTTCCTGTATTTATCTCACCTATTGTATGGAATATGTGTGAACATCTTCATCATAAATCGGTATATTTCAAAGAGCTACACAACGAGCAAGAATACTATTGACCGACAATATACAGAGCAGGGGCAGCAGTAGTGTCATCTATTACTAGTTTGTTACTTTGTCATTTATATACTGGAAACATTGCCAAATTTATTTCCATAGCGGTTCACAAAGAAATCATTCTTTTTATTCATAAAGGTACTTGATTCTTATCACTTAAACTTTTCTTGTCGTAACTTTGCCACCAGAATTTGTTCATCATGTACTTTATTTTGTTTCGGGTTTTGCTTCATTAGTATTTATTCGTTTAATAATTTTTCACGTGCAAATAAAAAAGTGTCGAGCTTATAATCGACTCTCCACACTTCAGCAAACCGTCTAATATTTTTTACATCCCTGTTAGTTTTGTTGGGATTAAAACTGCTTGATGTATTTGTTATTTATTTAGGAATGTAAAGCAAGTGACTAAAATTACGCATTTCTGTAGCCTGTGAACAGGCTCTCTGTTTGGGGAAGGGGTGGAAAAATTGCGAGGAGAGGGAAGGTTGAGACACTGTCAACAAAGATTTGAGTCTGTCTTGTAATTGCCGATCGTCACCAGATAGTTATCAGTCACTTGGACACACTAAAATGTAATCAATTCTGTGTGTAATTTTACCTCTTGCCAAAATGTTGCTTTTTCCAATGAGTTTATTCTGCTATGGAGGGTTTAGTTTTAACTGAGAAAATGTCATTTTTGCTGCTTATTTCATACTAAGAGGTCGTGACATGCATATTGATTTTTCTGCGGTTATTGTTTCTGGTCGGCATGATTTTGCCCTCTGGTGCCACAGGCGACCCAGACGTAGTATGTGTCACTGAATGAATATATTAATATTCACATGGGCAAATTAATGCCATGAGTCGTCGAAACTCCAATGAGCTAAAATAGTCCAAAAATCAAAATATAACAAAATAAAGCTAAGATACCTTTAACTGAACGTATTCTTGTCTTTCCTGGCCGGTTAAAGTGGCATTTTGTTGAGTTTTGAAATTGTAGGTACTATCCACTAAAGAAGAATTAAAGGCTGGCTACAAAACAAACAGACCATCTCCACGCGCCTTCACACGAAGCGCTATAAATTCGAGAATAATCGACGAATCCGCTCCAAATAACCATCGGCTAATCTGCAGGTAACGTGTGCTCCTGCTTCTGGCTCGCTTGCTCCACAAAACCTTCGCAACTGCACAATAATTGCTCGCTCATCAACAACCACTGTTGACCTTTACGCTTCGATATGACCGCAACCGACCAGGTATAATACGCGACGTGAATATTCAAGCTTAGCGACCGCGTCCGCGCGACAATGCAACACTCGCAATGGGAGGGATGGTACAATTGTTCTAGGTCAATCAACACTGAGCGAGGGTCCGCTGCGTTAGTTTTCACCAGAAAACAAAAGGCGATAGCGCGAACGTCCGTAAGTTTTCAACAGGGCGGCCCTGGTTTTCGGATTCTTGTAACGTTTGTTTGTCCAGCCGCTTACATAGGTTCTGTCTCTACTGGACCTATTTCCTTAAAGTAATTAAGTAAACAGTTATTTCCAGAACACCGACAATATGTTGTCCAAAGTGGCGAGGGAGGACGACAATTTGCCGCCTCGTAAAAAGGCAAAATCCAGCCTCGGCTATGCAGCTGAATGGAAACTATGGTAAGGAATAAAGTTATGTGCGCGATATTTTTTTTTTGGTTATGATTATTATTCTTTTCAAAACCCCAGGGCCTCCAACGATGATTTCTTCCTAAATGCATTAAAAACACTTTTAAGGCAGTCCAGAGTAAGTAAGATCTCTAAAAATGCATTCTAAGTGGCGCTAAAACATAGATAATATTTATGGTTTGTTCATACTAAATATAAAATCGTGTAATGTTAAGCGGCGAAGGCAACCAGAACTGTGAAATACAACAATGGGTCTAATTGCATGCAGCACGCTTTTTTGTACATTTCCTTGACGTTGCTTTGCATGACTACTACGTGAAACGTCCAGAAACTTCCTGGTTTTCACGTTTTATGGAGGAAATGTCGTACATGTTCTTGTTCACTTTTTCCACTACCGCTCATTCTTTTTAGCTCCGCTAAAAAATTCGTATCTGTGCGGTCATCCTAGGGCAAACTGAGTCTTTCGGAAAACTACAAGGGCTTCAATATTTACATTTTCCCGAAAATTTTAGATGCAATTTAAAGCTTTACGAAAGTAAGAATTTTTCTGATTCCTCTCTCTATCACTTTTTGGATTCCGAAAACCAGGAGCCCATGATGGTGATGATGGGCTCCTGCGAAAACTGAAGGTTTTCTTTTTCTACGAAAAATAGCTTAACCTGGGATGCGAAAAATTAAACTTAATAAAATCAGAGGGAATTTATAAGATAAGCTTCGAAAATTGTACATGAATGAAAACTACAAAAAACAGTCGTTTGGTGCCACTGAAATCTGGCTCGGGCGGTTTATGTCATATTAACGTCCCAAATCTTTTGGACCCTCAATGAGTGATCTTTCTGGCGCATCAGAGATTTTTTAAACACCGTTTCAATATTTATTTTAGGGTGCTGGCCAATTATACTTATCAACTCGGTGCTGTAACACCAGTCGGAGATATTATAGAGCATGCAGCGCAAGCCGCCAATGAAAACACCGCTGGATCTGCTCTAAGTTCAACCTCTTTAGGTTTTATTGTGAAGGATTCGTGGGGAGATGCCGTTATTAAAGCTCGGAGAGGTCCTAAGAAGCAACAGCAGAGCGTTTACTTGAATGTGAAGAAAAAAGATCCAACCCACCATAGTGGCGATGTGGATGGCCTCATTCCTCTTTCTCAGGCACTTGCTGATCTTACGGTTCCTGACGATTGGAAAGTTGTACGAGACA